GAAGGCTGGAAGGTCAGCAGGTAGCGTGGTGGCTGGGGGTGCTGGACTCCCACATGGCTGACTATGGTTCAAGTCCCAGACCAGGCAGCTTGCTCTCTCACTTTTCTCCCTCTCTCTCTCTGTCCCTCTCTGTCAAATTAAAATAAATGAATGCATGAATGAATAAAGTTTAAAAAAAAATTCCTTTTTTTTTAAATTTATTTTTTTAAGATACAGGTTGGGATGGACACCTCTGAGGTAGAATACAAAGAACTAACCTCGGCTATATACTCGCTGACAGAGTTCCTCTACCCGGCGCTGTAGGCGGTCTGAAGCCTCTACCACACGGGACACTGCTGCCTTGGAGAACTCCATACGACCCTGCAGCTGTAGCTCCACCTCTTCACTGCTGCTGGCACCCAGTGCCACCACAAAAGCCAAAGCTGGCTCACTGAGAGGGGGCCGCAGCTGCACTGGCAGGTGCTCTGAGGTGGATAGACAGAACCTCATGAAAATAGCAGTAGCAGTAAGCAGTTAACAACACTATGTGACAAATTCCAAAATGAGCCCTTCAACACTCCATGCTCAATCAATATAATCTGTAGTATACTATTAGCTCCATTTTGAAACTGAGACAACGGAGGTACAGAGACTTAAATTTCCTCAAGGGTACAGCACTGCCACCAAGTCAGTTTCTCAGGGAAGCCTCCTCTACCTTCTCAGCTTAAATTAAGGCCACACACAGGTGTTTATTCCCTTTCAGCGGCCCCAATACTTTTTACTTATTATGATTTATAATTATTTCCTTCCTGATGACAGAAAAAAATATTTCTCGTGGGACCAGAAGATAGCATAATGATTATGTTGTTGGACTCCCATGTAGTCAACAGTGGTTTGAGACCCGGACTCGGTGGCTTACACTGCATGCTGGGTGCGTGTGCGTGCGTGCCCAAGATCCTAAGAGGAGAAGAGATTTTGGCATAGTCATCCCCCCGGGGGGTGATTTCTCGCTTTCTGTCTCTCTGTCTCTTTCTCTCTCTGGCGAGTACACAGTAAACACACTCTATAGCAAAAAACTCTCTCTCGAAAAATCTCTCTGCTGTCTTTAATCCCCCAAGTCTACAACAGTGCCATGTACAGTCAACACTCAATACTTTTTAGAGAGACCAGCAGATGGCGTAGTAGTTAAGGCACTGGACTTCCACATGGCCAATAACAGTTCAAGTCCTAGACCCAGAGGCTTAAAAAATCACACCAGGGATGGTGTAATGATTATGTCGCTGGAGTCCCATGTAGTAGTAGATCGCAGTTTGAGTCCCCGACCCAGTAGCGTAAAACTCACACTGGTGCATGTGCGTATGTGCTCCAAATCCCAAGAGAATGGAGGAAAAGGGATTGAGGTGTGGCTATCTCTCCAAGGGGATGATTTTTCCCTTTCTATTTCTCTGTCTCTGCCTCTCTGGCAAGCGCACATGCCCAAAGTTCCATGAGTAGAGTGGAGGAGAAAGGATTGTGGTGTACCCATTTCCCTGGGGATGATTTTTCACTTTCTCTCTGTCTCTCTGGTGAGTGCACATGCCCTATAGCAAGCTACTCCAAAGGAAAAAAAAAAAGTTTTCAATTAAAAAGTACCTAAGCACAAGTAGCATTATGAACCAAAGTAATCTGGATTTTAATGCCTGTGTTCTTATTGTACCTTACTGCCCAAACATGCAATCAAATTTTCGGGGAATGGGATAGGGATGAAGTGGGAAATTCAGAAAATCATTATCAAAATCCTTCCTCCCCAGCATCTTTCCCAGAACCAAAGCTCCCCAGACCCTAGGGGTTTAACCCTACCCCTCAGCTCCGATGTCCCTGGCTCTGTCAGAGGAGTCCCATCACGTGTTGGCCCCTCCTGGGTCCCAGGCACTTCTGTCCCTGAAGACAGCTCTCCCTGGTTCTCATGGCATCGAAGCAGGGCTTCCACAGTTTCATCTAGCTGAAGAGAGAAAGCACCAAAAATGTTATAGATCCCTTGGTGCTTTCTTGCATAATGTTCCTTTCCCAGAAGAGAAATCTAAGGACTGGCAAGTGAATTAAGGTCTTAAAAAGCAAAGAGCAAGGCCAGTAGGTGATGTGGTGGTTAAAGGTGCTGGGTTCCCACATGATCAACTGTAGTTTGAGTCCCAGACCTGGTGGCTTGCTTTCTTGCTCTCCCTTTCTCCCTCTGTTTCTGCCTCTGTCTGGTCAACTTAAAAAAGAATAGCAAATAGAAGTAAATAAATAAGTAAATGATAATTTAAAAAAAAAGCAAAGGGCATCTACCTGGGCCCAGTAGCGATTGACAATGAGGAGTGTGGCATCATCTGTGGCCTGCCGCTTCTCCAGCTTCTCAATTCGTTCTCGGAGTTCATCTTCACAAGCCTGTCGCTGTTCCAACCGCTCTGCCAGTTTCTTGTTCTTGAACTGTAGTACCTTCAAGTCCATCTCTTCCTACCAAGGGAAACAAGGAGACCAAGGGGAGGGTCAAATAGGACCAGCTACTATTCAGAGACAAGACCAAATGAAATGGATGGAAGGTAGGAGTATGCCCAGAGTAACTGCTAACAGGTTTTTTCTTTTTCTTCTTTTTTTTGGGGGGGGGAGAGGTTTTTGCTATAGGGCGCGTGCACTCGCCAGACAGACAGAGACAGAAAGAGAAATTACCCCCCCAGGGGAATGGCCGCGCCGGAATCCCTTCTCCTCCATTCTCCTCTCAGGATCTTGGGCACGCACGCACACGCGCCCGGCACGAGTTTTAAGCCACCGGGTCCAAGACACGAACTGCGGTTGACTACATGGGAGTCCAGCGACATAGCCATTATGCTAACTGCTGATCCCAAGGTTTTTTTTTAGTCGACCCACCTAGCCATTATGCTAACTGCTGATCGCAAGGTTTTTTTTTCTTTTTTAAGAGGTTTTTGCCTTAAGGTGTGTGTACTTGCAGGGTGTGTTTGTGTGTGTGTGTGTGTAGACAGACGGTGAAAAGCGAGGTGAAAAATCACCCTCCAGCGGGGATGACCACGGTGCAATTTATTCTACTCTCAGGATCTTGGGCACATGTGCACACGCACATGTCTGGCATGAGTTGAAGTCTGGGACTTGAACTAAGGTCAGACATGTGGAAATCCAACAATGTAAACACTATGCTATCTGCTAGTCCACTGCCAACAGGATTTAGAGGCTCAAATACCCCACAGAAAAAGCCTCTAGGGCGACCAGTAGATGGCATAGCTATTATGTTGGTGGACTCCTACATGGTGGGCCACAGTCTGAGTCCCAGACCTGGAAGCTTGAAAAATCACGGGGGCTGGGGGTTGGAGATTGGGGGTTGGGAGGTGACAAAATGGTTAGGCTGTTGGACTCCCACGTAGTTGAAACCAGTTCAAGTCCTGGACCTGGTGACTTAAAACTCAAGTTGGGTGTATGTACACGCGTGCCCACAATTCCGAGAAGAGATGGGATTGCGAATTGGCCATCCCCCACCCCCACTCCCGGGGGCTGATTTCTTGCTTTCTGTCTCTCTGTCAAGTGCACAGGCCCTATAGTGAAAATCTCTGGAAAAAAAAAGAAAAACACACCAGGCACATATAGTGTGTGTGCCCAAGATCACGGGAGGAGAATGGAGGAGAAAGGACTGTGGCATGGCCATCGTGAGGGGATTTCTTGCTTTCTGTCTTTGTCTCTCACACAAGCACAGGTGCCCTACAGCAAAAAAAAAAAAAAAAAAAGGGAAGAGAAAGGAAAGGTTTGTACCGTGGCCATGCCCCTCAGGGGTGATTTCTCACTTTCCTTCTCACTGTCTCTTTCTCTAGGGAGTGCATGGGCCCTAAGACAAAAAACTCTTAAAAAAAAAAAAAAAAGCCTCTTGGTTGAAAAAAAAAAGCCTCTTGGTTGTGAGCAATCTCATGTTCTGCTGCTGGCTCTGTCAAGTCACACACCCTCCTAGAACCTGTGCTCTTATCTGAAAAGGAAAGCAGACGTGCTCTCGGTTTCCTTCAACAGAGTGTTCTATAAAGGTGGCCTTGCAAAGCTCCGGGAAGACTCTAGCCGGCTTGGGCGGGTAATAGACATTAGGTTGGCAAGTTCTGAGCTAGGGTAGGAGTCCACGAACCGTTGAAGAGATGCCTCCAAGACGAATGGGCTCTATGAGAGTGGTTGTGGTCTTCTCCTCGAGGCTCAGCTTCTTTTCTGGGGGCCCTGAGCCCCCATCGCCAGCGGCTCGTTTGTTCCCGGGTCCAGACATGGCTGCGGCGGCAAGGAACAGCGCAGGATCCCCCGAGGGGAGTCAGGAAGGCCGAGGCGGCACTTCTGTCACCTACAGAAGACAGACAGCAGAGGCATAGAGGCGGCCGACGCTGCACAGCCCCGAACGCCCTCCAGCACACACCTGCTGGATCCCGCCCGCGTCGACTCTCGAGCTCTCACCCGCTACAGGGTCAGCATAGCGCCGCCATGTTGAATTTCACCGGACGTCACCGGCTTCCCTGTCAGAGCGCAGGCGCCAGAAGCAGCGCCGGATGTGGCGAAACTTCTCTACTTCCCGTTTCTATTGGTCATGCTTGGCCCCACCTCTCTGGTCATTTGGGTTCTTCCGGACTGTCTGTTTTTTGTCTCGGTGATTGGCCAGAAAGTTCCCATGGTAACTGACACGCAACCCCCCCCCCTTCCCTGAGGACCTCTGCCTCCCTATTACCAGTTTTGAAGAGAGACACCCAGGTAGGTCCTTGCAGTTTGTTACGCATGCACGTTTTCTTCTCACTCGTAGGCGTATACCTGCACTTTCGACCTTCTTTCCTTCTCGAGCCCCCTTAGCAACGGTCGCCGTTGAAACGGAGGAGACGCCCCCCGCGGATTGGCTGAGCTGAGCCTCTCTGCCGCGTAGATTGGCTGGAGCGTCGCTGGAAGGCCAGGCCTTGGCAGTCGCTGCCCGAAAACTGGCTGTCCGAGACCGAGGCAGGACCCAGCCTGTGGAGACCCGTGGCACTAAGGAATGAAGAGATGCTCAGCCGAAAGCCCAGTCAGTTCCTAGGAGTGAGGGTGCAGTCGGAACCCGAACAGCCCTCCGAACTGCGGCAGGACCCAGAGAAGGATCCCAGCTCAGTGGGCGGATCGACGACGCGGACCGAAATAGGTGTGCGGATCGAGTCGGCAACACCGGCCTCCGCCTCCGTGGCAGCAGATGAATATCCTGGAGCCAACTTGTTCCCGGTGAGGGCGGGTTAGAGTGGTGCGCCCATGAACATTTATAAAAGGCTTCCCCGCGCGGAGCGCTACCCATCATTAACGTTTACTAACCTCGGGCTGTTTCCAGGGCTGCCTGTTCCCAGGGGTGTTTCCTCTGGCTGTTTCTAGGGTGAAGAGAGTAGGGTGCATGTGGCCCCAGACTGTTAATATGCTCATGAATAGTACTTAGGGTCTGCTGAAGCCCAGTCCTGCACGCGTTGCTGGTGCATAACCCTTGAGATAGCGCATTCTCAGGCCGGCTGAAGATTTGCCACAGGCCAGGGACAAGTTCTGCCTTCCCCAATGCACTCTCTCTCCTCAGCCCCCGCTGCCCCCGCCACGGATCTGCATGTGGTGAGTGTGAAGCGCCTTGGGGAAAAGTTACACTTCATGCTTGTCTTATTCCTTTGATACCTTCACAGTAGTTCTGTACAAAAGCCAGGGCACCCCCATTTTACTGATAGGGAGACTGAGGCTAGGCTGCTGCTACTCAAGATGCCAGCTTTTCAGGCCTCCCAGTCCAGAGGCAGTGTGAGAAGAGGCAAAGACCCCACGTAATATCAGCTGCTATGGAGCACTATACAAATGGGACACTTAGGCCCACAGCGGGTACTTGAGGTAGTGACAAGGTAGAGATAAGAACTAAAATTTCCTAACCTTAGGCTTCCTAAATGACGAGGATCAGAAGACTTCACTTAGGCCATACTCTTCATTTACAAATGGAGAAAGTGAGGCCCAGAAAGGGAAGCGACTTGCCTAAGGTCACAAAGCAAGTTAGTGAAAGAGCCTTCTCAAACTCAGGTATCCTCCCAGAGCAATGCCCTAGCCATCACAACCCTGTCATGAGATTAATGTGTAACGTCACTAACACTTTTTTCCCCTCTTCTTTTCCTTTGACAGGAAGTACCTGGATATCCATTCCATGCACCGGCTGGAGAAGACAGCCAACGTTGAGGAGATGAGGGAGTATGGGACTGAACAGGGAAAGGAAGAAGAGTGCCTGGGAAAGGCAGGGGCGGTGGGTGAAGACATGAGGAATCTTGATTCCAAAGCATGTGGTGAATGTGCAGTGAAGGAGGCTCCTGTGGTCATTCACACCTCTCTCTCCCTCCCAAGGGTGCTGGTTGAACTGTTGGAACTAGGCTGTCCTGAACAGAGCCTGCGAGATGCCATCACCCTGGACCTCTTCTCCCATGCACTCATCTTCTGCCGCCAACAGGGCTTCTCACTGGAGCAGACATCAGCAGCTTGTGCCCTGCTCCAGGATCTTCACAAGGCCTGTGTTGGTGAGGAGAAAGCAACTACCAGAAAGTTTAAGTCCAGAGACAGCAGAAACCAGGATTGGCACAAGTGAGGATGGCAAACAGAAGCAGGCAGATTACCACTTGGAATCTTTGGTCATCATGACTAATAGTTTCATAAGTGATTGCCTTTGAAATCCTGTTTCCTGATCCATAAAGGATACAGTATTAATTTTTTGTTTTACTGTTTTTGCCATAGGGTGCAACCTCTATCTCGCTCACTCATTTTCCTCTGAAGGCCAAAGTAGGGTCTCCCTGCTCCTGAATTGCTGGGCTCTTGGAGGAATGGCCAGGGCTTTAGAAGGTAGTCAGTGCTATAACTCTCATTCACTGGATGAACACTTGCTGGAGAGACAAACACAGACAGTGAGAGGGAAAGTGAGAAATCACCCCTTCCATGGGGATGGCCACACTGCAGTCCCTTCTCTACTCTCCTCCCAGGATTTTGGGCTTGCATGCACACACGCCCAGCGTCGTTTTCAAGCCATCAGGTCCGGAACTTGAAGTGCAGTTGGCCATATGGGAGTCTGGTGCCTTAACCACTACCCTATGGGCACTAATTTCCTGGAGTTGCTCTGAGACATAATACATTTATGCACAGAGTTCAATAAAATAGTTCCTGTACTTCCCACCACTCCACATACAAACACTCTTTTCTTTTTCTTTTTATTTATTTTAATTTGACCAGAGAGGGACAGAGAGAGAGGGAAAGTAGAAAGCAATCCACCAGGTCCAGGATTTGAACTATGGTCGGCCATGTGGGAGTCCAGTGCCCTTAACCACCATGCCACCTGCCAGCCCCAATACTTTTATTTCTGGATTATTTTCTTCAGAATGTTTAACAGTAGCTAAAATTACGTGTTTTTAGGTTTATCCTGTGTCACTTCTATTAGAATGTAAGCTTTATAAGAAGGTCCTTGTCTGTCTGATTCAGTGTTTAGAACAGTACATAATACTCAATATACATTGAGTATAATTAAGAAAATAAGCCAAGGGGAACCAGCAGTTAGCATAATGGCTATGTCGCTGGACTTCCCACATAGTCGACCGCGGTTTGCGTCCCGGACTCGGTGGCTTAAAACTCATGTTGGGCGCGTGTGCGTGCGTGCCCAAGATCCCAAGAGGAGAATGGAGAAGGGATTGCAGCATGACCATCCCTCCTGGGGGGTGATTTCTCACTTTCTGTCTCTATGTCTCTCTTTGTCTGTCTGGCGAGCGCACGCGCCCTATAGTGAAAAAACCTCTCCAAAAAAAAAAAAAAAAAAAGCCAAGACTTAAACCTTGATTTGTCTACCTTTGAAGTTTATGCTCCTTCAGTAGCTGTTGAGTGACTGAAATGAATGAATGCTTGTCAGGGAGGGAACTCAATCTTGCTTTTCCTACCAGCAACTCCCTTGGGCAACGTGGAGGAATGCTACCGCTTCTTCACCAGTGCTCTCTTTTGCCATGGAGTCAGGGTCAGTACCCTGGAATGGAACTTCACCCTCCCCTAGACAAGGTCTAGTCTAATCTCCCACCCTCTATCCCATTCATTCATTTTCCTCTGAAGGCCAAAGTTGGATCCCCCTTTTCCTAAATTGCTGGGCTCCTGGAGGAATGATCAGGGCTTTAGGAGGTAGTCAGTGCTGTAACTCTTACTCATCCCCACAGCGACCCCCCTTTAGCATCAACCTCTTTAAGGAGGAACAGCTGTTGGCCCTGGCAGACTATGTGGTCAACACCTACTTCCGCCACTTCAAACTGTATAAATATGTCTTCACACCTCAGGTACTAGGTTGTGGGCTATAAGAGGCCACCCCTTATCCTCAATGTAGGTGCCTTCCTATTAGCCTTACTCTTTCTCTCTTTTCCCAGGTTCGGCTAGATCTATCTTTGACTTATATGGGGCTACAGCCACCCAAGAGCTATCCAGAGGGTAAGATGGGTTAGGAAGAGTGCCAGGGCTAGGGCTGGGTTAGGGTTTGGGCCAAGGCCTCTTCCTACTTCTGACTTGCAGAGAAAGAAAGCAGCAAGGAGGCAGAGGAACAAACAGTCGCCTCAGAGGAAGAGAAACCAGAGACAGTGCCCCAGCCTGAGCAAGAGCCAAGTGAGGACCTGGAGGGGTCAGGGTGCCCTGTGACTCTGAGTAGGTGCAAAATGAAGGTTTTGGACCACATCAGGACTTCAGACATTTTGGTTTTGGTCATGGTGTCCTTTCTCCAAATGCTTCTTTATGCAGAAGTCCAACATGACAGATAAAACATAGCTACTGAAGGGGAGGCAGAAGAGTTAGCTCTAGAAAGATGACTAGAAAACCAATGACTGGGGCCAGCTGGTGGCCTGGTGGTTAAGGCACTGGACTCCCACATGGTCGACCATAGTTCAAGTCCTTGGACCTGGTAGCTAATTTTCTCACTCTCTCTCTCTGTCCCTCTCTGGTGAGTGCATATTGCCCTATAGCAAATTTTAAAAATAAATAAATGAAATTAAATAATTCTTTGTTTTTAAAGAGAGATATTTTTTGCTCTAGGGCAAGTGTACCAGAAACAGAAAGCAAGAAATCCCCCCCGCCCCCAGCTCCAGGAGGGATAGCCATGCCACAATCCCTTCTCCTCCATTCTCCTCTCAGGATCTGAGGCACATATACATGCACCCGGGTGTTGAGTTTCAAGCTGCTGGGACTTGAACCATGGTAAACTACATGGGAGTCCACCGACATAACCATTACGCCATCTGCTGGTCCCAAATAAATAATTCTTAAAAAAGAAAAAGAAAGTCTGCTGGTCCCAAATAAATAATTCTTAAAATAAACAAAAAAGAAAAAGAAAGCCAATGACATTAACAGCCAGCACATATTTGCGATACTGTACACCAGGCCCTGGTTCCCCGCCACCAAGAGATTTTTACTATAGGGTGTGTGCATTTGCCAGATAGATAGACAGAGACAGAAAGTGAGAAATCATCCCCAAGGGATGATGGCCACACCCCACAACCCATTCTCCATTCTTCTCAGGGCATGCATGTGCACACATGCCCAGTGTAAGTTTGAAGTCTAGGACTCAAGTGGCAGTCAACCATGTAGGAGTACAGAGCTTCAACCACTACACCATCTACTGGCCCCCACGCCCTGTTTTAAGCATAGTTTATGTAACTATTTAATACTCCTATCAACACCATATGCTAGGTGTTAATTCTATCTACACTGTACGTGATGATACTCAGGCAAAGAAACGTTAAATAACCTGCTTGGGATCACACAGTACCAATTAGCATTTGTTTCAGAAATGTTGGCAAAGCTACTGCCACTTTTAGATGAAACTGTGTCTCATCCAACGGCTGGCTGCCACTTTTTAAGTTGAAGCAGCATTGCCACCTGTGTAGTCCCGAGAGGTACCTTAGGGCCTGTGTTCATGCATCTAGTGACAACCCCTTATGCCTAGACAGTCTCTCTCCTGACCTCCTGCTTCTTTCCTTTGTCTACAGGCCAGGTCGGACTCCTCAGAACCTACATCAAGACTCAGTTAAACAAGGAGCTGGGACAGATCCAACAGCTGGTTGAGGAGCGACTCAAGGCCAGTGAGGAAAGGCTCAATAGTAAACTGACTGCCCTAGAACAGCCCTTCCAGCTACCTCCACACAAAGGCAAGAACAAGACTAAGTAATACCCAGTATTTTCCCCAATAAAGGCCTGGGCCAGAATGGCCCCATCCCCGCACCTCCTCCTGTGTACCTTCTGGGCTTTCCTGCCAAAGCCAGACACCAGACACAGCGCACCAGCTCTCCCTGGCGTGTAGCAGATTTTATTTCATATGCAGCACAAGCAATGCTGATAAAGCCAGGCATGGCATTCGCAGTGGCTCCTTTCCACCCCAGCTCTGATCTCAGAGCCCTGGCCAGCGGGGGTAGGTATACAGGGCTGGTATTTATGATAGATGCATGATCGGTGGTGGGCCTACCTAGGCAGGGGCGCCTGAGGCGAGAGCCCAGAGGGACTGGAATGACCAAAGCCCTCCTCCTAGAGGGAGTTGCTTTCTGAGATTGTGCAGAGCTAAGGTCCTAGCCCAGCACCATTGCAGCCTCATCCTCGGTGATAGTAGCTGAGTCCTTTACTTCTTCGGGTCCAATACTGAGAAGAGGCCCAGGAGGCTGGTGCTGGAAGAGGGCTGCCCGATTCTGTTGCTCACCCTTTTTGACCCAGTGCCCATATAGCCGGAAAGCACAGTTGTCGATGAGGCGTCGCACTGGCCGCAGGGCATAAGGGTCCCTCAACAGTGCACTCTTAGTCAGTGGTCGTACACGGTGGGTGCTTAAGGCCACTCGTCCAGCAGCCAGCACTGTCCACACTGCCACCTGGGAAGAAGACTAATGTGAGCTCCAGTGGAACATCTAGCATAGAACAAAGATCATGGGACACAGGCACAGGCCTGACCCTGTCTCTTAGGCTTACCCGGAACCGCTGGCGGGGGGTGAGGTTCCAGGGTTGGCTGCCTTCACAACGCTCAAAGAAGGGATGTTGTAAGGCCTGTTCACCTGTCAAACGCTCCTCAGGGTCCACTTGCAGCAGCTTTGAAATCTAGGAGAAACCCAGAGAATGAGGAGCAGCTCTTGAGCCTTGCCCACTGTCCTCTCACGGTCCCAGCTCACCAGGTCTTTGACGGTGTTTGAACGGTCATCCCATTCAGGTGAACTAAATTGGTACTGGCCCTCCATGATCATGCGTAACATCAGGATCTGGCGCCGGTGCCAGAATGGAGGTGAGCCAGCTAGGAGTGTGAACAAGATCACCCCACAAGCCCAACTGAGAAAAAAAGACTAGAGTCAGGCAAGACTAGGTAATGGGCAAATATACTGAAGTACAGTAAATACAGGCGGGGGTGGAGGGAAACCAGAAACTCACAGGTCGACCTCCTTGCCGTAGCCTGGGTGGGTTTCATCCATGGAGCATTTAAGAATCTCTGGTGCTAGATACCCTGGTGTTCCACACAGCTCTGGAGGGAGAGGGTCAGTATTGAGAGAATGCCACCATCCCCCCCTCCAGGGCCCTTAACATCAGATCTCTGCTGGAGCCTCTTCAACACTACCTGGGCTTCCAGTGTTCCCATTCTGCTCCTATCTGCCTTCTCGTGAATCTCAGTACCAGACACTATCCCAGCTGAACAATTCAAATGCCACAGGTACAACATGTTGGCTCTCCTAGGCTAACATGGTTTTGGATTGACTTTAGGGTTCTACATCACAGTATTATTTGCCTCCTCTAACCCTCCAGTCAAGCCAAATACCTATTCTCACACAACTTAGCACATTTTTCCATATGGAACATACATATGGGAAACAGAACTTAAGTTTTTCTGCCCTTTCTGCCAAACCTATTCCTCCTCCTATAATCTCTATTCTAGTTAGTGGAACACAATTCAGGGGCAGCAAATGAAAATAAGGGATTTCTGAGGCCAGCAGGTGGTGTGGCGGTTAAAGCACTGGACTCCCACAGGGCTTATGGGTTCAAGTCCCAGACCTGGTAGCTTGCTTTCTCTCTGTGTCTCTCTTGTAAACACACATGCCCTATAGCAAATTAAAAAATAATAATAAATAAAATTTAATTCAATTATATATGGTTTTTTTTTTTTTTTTTTTTTTTTTTTTTTTTTTT